AGGCAGTTCCGACGGGGATAGAAGAGGATGTGAAGACGGGACTTGTGATTACTTCCTTAGGATTCCATGCCCCTGAGATGAATACGATGCTTGGGAAGGAGGAAGGGAGGATAAGACCTGGTCAGGGTGGACGGGTAGTTTTAGAAGGAAGGGAAGGGAAGGGAGAGCTGAGATTGAAGAACGTCTACGCGAGTGGATGGGCATCCATGGGTGCTCGGGGGGTGTTGGCCGCTACTATGATGGATGCGTATGGAGTTGCGCAGACTATGCTGGGTGATTGGCTTAACGGTGGTGTTGCTCCTGCGAGGTCTACAGAATCTGATGTTGGGGTCAACGTTCAGAATGGAGAAGAGGAAACCGAACAAGAAATAATGGCGACAGAGATTAATTCGGATTTGGACTTGGATGCTCCTCCTAGTGAAATTCAGGACGCACTTCGGAAGGGGACGGTGCTTGAATATGGGGATTGGAAGAAGATTGATGAGGAGGAACAAAGGAGAGGAGAGGTGGTTGGTAAGGAGAGGGAAAGGATGGAATGGGAGGAAGTTAGGACGTTCCTGGGTAACTAGCTAGTCGAAGGTAATACTGTAACATAATGGAAGAAATACCTCCTCTCAACTCACTTGATTTTCTCAGTGAGGGAAGCAAGTTGATTTACACAGGACACCAATCTATATATAACGGTTGAATACAAGTATTGATACGTAAGGTAGACATTTACAGCTGAACTACCACCTCTCACCCGGGAATCTCTGCGTCTGTGCATCAGGGAATTGAGGTCGCTGTCCATACCCAGGCGCATAACCTTCCTGTCCAGGTCCAGCCTCTGGGAATCCAAAAGATTGATTTGGCTGTGCACCAGGGAATGCTGGCCCAGGCCCAGATGGGAAGCCAGGAGCTTGACCATATGATGGCGCATATCCTCCTTGTGTTGTGCCACCACCGTATGAAGATGCGTATCCTGGCCCTTCCCCAGGGAAGGAGGGTGGAGGACCGGAGGGTGGAGCGTATGATCCGGGGAATGAAGGTGGTGGTGGTGTGTAGGAGGAGTTTCCGGATCCTGGGAAGGAGGAGGGTGGACCTGAGGGAGGTGCGTAAGGGTCTCCGGAAGATGGACCATAGGATGGTTCATAAGAGCTTCCTGATCCTGGGAATGAGGGAGGAGGACCGGATGGTGGGGCATAGTATGACTTTGAAGAGTTGGAATTGTTTGAGGCTTCGAATGTATCGCCGTCACGGGAATAACCATGTTCATGCTTGTTATGCTTGTCTTCATGCTTCTTGTGCTTATCTTCGTGCTTGTCATGCTTATCATGCTTGTCATCATGCTTCTTCTGACCATGACCATGCCCACCTCCGTGTCCACCACCACCCCCACTAAAGAATTCCGTCGCTTGTCCCACACCAGGTATACCATGAGCAACACCACCCACATACCCAAGCACAGCACTCTGCACTTGCATTCCTTCGCTCTGGGCCCACGTTCCCTGCGCAGCAGATTGGCCTCCCTCACTAGCATGACGAACATTTTGGTGTGATCGTACAGCTTCCTTGGTGAGTCGGGAGAGGATGGAGGAGCGTTTCGAGCCGAGGGATGAGACCCAATGTGAGAGCTCAGAAAGCATGGCCTGTTGGATGCGGGAGGAATGGGATGTGAAGGAGGGATGGAAGCTGTATACATATAAAGGAAGGGGGGTTGGGTAAGAGACAAAGAGGGAGATACGTGGAAAGAGACGTACAGGCATTCGAGAATTTCTTCGGAAAGGGCGTTGACGTTGATTGAGGTATCGTCCCAGGCTTTGATCACCAAACCTACTGTATTTTTCTGTAGGATATGCAATTTTAGGTATCGAGTGTGGATCTGCGCGAGAGGGACTTACGACCACGACTTTTGCCACGAGTCCAGCTGGTTCGTTGAGGATCAGGTTCTGAATAGGAGGAAGAAATCAGTTTTATTATCAATCTTCATCAGTGAGGGAAGAGACTTGCGAAATGATCTTTACTGAGGAAAGAGTGCGTTGGGTCCGACTGTTGATTAGTAGGTAGGTTAATGTTAGAGAGTTTAGAGTAGATGTGAACGTACAGCGCGGGGATCATTGAACACCTCGTATTGGTCGTTATTGTTGATCACCTCGCCAGATATTTCGGAGAGGGCGGACGTGGATGTTTGAAGGATGGGCCTGAGGAAGGGCTTTGGGATGAAGTATCTTTTTTAGTAAGGTATATGGGCTGAGGGAGAAGGGTGGGATTACCTCGAGTGTGGTAAATACAAAGACTGGTGGGATAAGTATGGTCATGAACTTGAAAGGGAAGAGAAGTAGAAAAAGACGAACCTGAGATTGAATCGCCTATTTTCTCGATAAGGGAGTTAAGTCCTGGTATCTTCTCGATGGTTTTCTCGATCTTCTTCATCACTATATTTCAATGTCAATCTTTCTATCCCACACGAGAAAGGAAAAAATCGAACCTGAATCCCTAAACGTTAAAACCTGCCAAAGAACGCCATGTAACTCCTGTGGCGTCATCTGTTCCGGAGCCTTTCCTCCTGCTGACGGACCAGCCCTAATACGTTCTACAGCATCCATTTCTCTTGACAATTCTGAACCGCCACCGCCTGGGATGCTGAAAAATAGGTCACGGAGAACGTCTCCGCCACCACTACGAGAAGAAGAGGAGGCTGATCGGGCTTTGTCGAGGGATTTGTTGAGGTCGGTGACGGAGGCTTGGGAGAGGTGGTCCGTTGCCTCTGTGGAAGAAGAGTTAGTGGAGGAGAGGAAGGTTGGCGATAGGTGTTGTGCTTACCGCCCAAAAGAGAGTGGAAAAAGTCGGAGGAACCGAATGTGCCTTTAGAGGGTATGAGTGAGGATCATGGAAGGGAGGAGGGCGGGGGAGGACGTACCAGTTACGATAGGTGCGACCCATTCACCGTTAGGAGCCTGCACGCGGACTTGATCGCCTACGTGCAGGAACACATCACGATGTCCCATGTTGACGAGGGCGATCTCGCACCAGTTTGAGTGTGCAGTAAAATCTTCGAGGGTGTGGAGCTGTTTGTAATTAGAGGAAGGATGAGATGAATGAAGCAGGACGCAACGTACCAATGTGCCTAGGAGCCTGTATGCTTCATATTCGTCTTCTTTGCGCCCTTGAGAACGATGCATACGCCCGAGGTGGATACAACGCTCAAGTAGGCGACGGACGAGGGCTTTGGAGGTGTCCCAGGTGCCTTGATCTATCCATTGCGGTTAATTTAGGTTAAGGAGAAGAGAGATGGGTACAGCACACCATTGGCGATGTAATTCTTCATTCCAGTACGTGGATCGATATCGAGCTCGCGTGGGTCGACAGGAGGACGCAGGGCGGGGTGATA